GTTTTCTGATCATTATCATAAATAAATATTATTTTACACTGCCATGTCTCTACTTAAAAATGTTACTACTAAAAAATTGGAACTCAAGTCAGAACTTTTTTTTTAGTTCTGGATAGAGTAGGGAAGGGTTATAACCAGTCATCTTAGGTTTTTGCCACCCGTGTCCCACTGAGAAGATTGCCCTTCACTTTGTCAAATGGCCACAACAAAAAACAGGGATTTCGTTGTGCTCAGCAGGGTCACCAGAACTATAGAACATTATTATAAATATATATTTATAAACTCCTCATTATCCAAGCAACCAGCAAATTAAAATAATTTTTTTTAAAAGGCGAAAACATATGGCCTCAATTCTTTTTTGCCAGTGGCTTGATGCACACAAAAAAATTGCTGGTTGCTTGGCGCACAATAAAAAAAAAAAAATCCTTAGCAACTAAATTTAGCTGCTAAGGAAATTCTTTGTTTACAACTTGCTGGTGGCAGCAGAGTGTAAACAATGGGGAGCAATAGCCAGCCTGCTTTCAGCTATTTCAAATTGCAATAGCCAATAGCAGTACCCGCCCACTAAGCAGAGGAGGGTATCTGAGAGCGAAAACTATCAGGGCCGCTCCTCTGCTCATTAGGAGGGTTTCAGTAGCCAGACTGGCTGGCAATTTGAAAAAGCCAATAGCAGTTTGGCTATTGCTCCTGGCTGCTTACATTCACCTGTTGGCTGCTAAAGCTAGCTGGCAGGTGAATGGGGCCGCTGGGAAGGGGTGATGGTTGCTTGAGAGTTACTATTAACTCTCAAGCAAGCACCGTGGGTGCCAGATAACTGGGAGTGTACACACACGTTTTTTTTTGGGTTGCCTAGGCAAGAATGAGGTACCCCCAAGCTGCTCAGGATACCCAAGTCATGCATCCCTGGCTTCAGGGCAAACTACAACACACTGCAAATGCGCCACATCAGGAGGTTGGCTGCAAGAACCCAGCAAAGACACCTTGAGCAGTGGATTACAGCAGGACAAAACTGGATTTACAGGGCATGCAAGTAAGTTTATTGAGGATAACTCTTTAAAGAAGAACTTCGGGTACAACATTAACCGCTTCCAACGGGTTCACATAAATATAACCACATGCAGCGGATGAAGTGTACCACAAACATGGCTGCTACTGCAGCCGTGTTCTTGGTACCATTTTAAACAGCAGACGATTGCTGTTTAAAGACAAGTGAAATGGCGTCTGTACAGGCGTCGGATTTCTTGTACGGTGCAGCGCTGTGCATCACACCCCACCTCCACAGCCGCTGTCGGCTTCCTGGGCTCAACTGTCAGCCGTGCGAGCCCGAGACCGGCATGGTGGGTATCCCCTGATGGATCAGAGGGAAATCAGCAGGCTCACTGGACCCGGAAGTGATGTGCAGGTCATCACTTTCGGTGTCACTGGGCACATTCTCTGGCTCCTTCAGCCAGAAGCAGCAGCTGGTGAAGCAGATCTCTGCTTCATCAACTTTTTTGGGGTCCCTAGGTGACATTAGGGGTCTGATAGACCCCTTAAGTCTCCATAAATAGGACCTGTCACATTATATTTGCTATTGCATAGGGGGCTTGTTAGCCCCCCTATGTGATAGCAATAAAGTGAGACCAATAATTCTAGGCCCGTCAGAGTGCACTGAACTGATGAGCATTAAGAGCGTTTAAAGTGTCGTCTATGGGAAATCTTGTTTTTTGTCGTTTTTTTGCAGTTTCACAGATGCACGCAATTTTAAGGCCTGAAATGTTTGGCATCTATTTACCCAGCGTGACCCCAGCTTTTATATTTTACAAAGAATTGGGTATTATATTGTTTCTGTGCACTAAATTTCATTTTAGAGAATTTTAGCCTAAAAATTCTGGTTTGATACACATTTGATACACATTTGTACAAATACCGTGTGACATAAAAAATTGCAACTAGCATCTTTTTATTCTACAGGGCCTCTGCTTTTCAGAAAATATATCATTTGATCCTGTGTGTGCAAATGTAAGAAATTGCTCCAGTCAGCAAGTGGTTAACCCTTGCAGTGGGGCTACCCCTGCACTGCAAGGGTTAACTGCTCATTTTTGTCTATGTGCTAAAAAAAAAGAAAAAAAAGTAATGCTCACCTCCTCTGCAGCGGTCTAAGGTCCTGTAAATCATCACATTCCATACACAATAGGGGGAATCTATCAAAACAGGGCCAAGCAGAATCTGGAGCGTAGTAACCAATCAGCATCTTAAGTTTGTTCAAACTTTGAAAATTAAAGATAGAAGCTGATTGGTTGCCATGGGCAACGGATCCAGATTTTGTCTGCTCTAGTTATGATAAATTCCCCTCTGTGTATAGACGTGAGGGCGCTGAGGAACATTCCAATGCTGCAGTGTAGGAGAAGACAGGCTTCAGAGACTGGAGAAGCGGGGAGTCGGCTCAGCAGTTCAGGCGAGTATGGCTTTTTCAGTTATTAGCACCTAGACAAATAAGAGCAGTTAATCTTTACAGTGTAGGGGTAGCCCCACTGCAAGGGTTAATAAAAGTTTTACCCGGAGTTCTTTAAGTTTTGCCAAGCTGATGAACCTATTTGCGTCTTATATCTTTCAGGGACTTCAGTGGCTGGACCTCTGCCCCTATAGCACAGTTATTACAAGCAGTCTAATTCTCCACTTGAGACTGGTAAAAGAACCTAGCTGTGATTTGCATTAGGGAGATATGAAGGCAATGAGTGATACAGGGCACCAGCATCCACTCTCAGTTGTAATAGCAGTTGGACTAAATCTAATAATAATCACTTTTTTCTTTTTTGTATAAAAGATTCATTTTGAAAGTAAATATGGAAACTACCTTAAGTACACAGTTGCTGTTCACGAGCAGATTCCCTGGTTTAATGTCTCGATGCAAAATGCCGGCTGAATGTAAATACTTCAGACCTTATTAAATAAAAACAGACAACATATTTACATTAATTGATGTTCCACAAGTTACCTTATTTTTTTCTAAAATGGTACATTTTCTTAGGTTAAACATTTGATGTTTTCTATTGTGAATAAAATTTGGGTTTATAAAATTTGTATAGCATTGCATTCAGTTTTTATGTAGATTTTACATAGCGTCCCAACTTTTTTTTGGAATTGTATATTTACTTCACTATATAAAACAGAGTACCAACACCAATAACCTTCTTTCAACAGGGCAGGAAGAGGCTACTAAGCAAGGCAGGCCAAACATTGCAATTTGAACAATCGTTGTACAAATTTCTTTAGGTTTACCAACTATGAAGTAAAATAAGTTTCAATCTGAACAATGCATTCAAATGATATCTAATCAGGTAGGTCCATCTACTACATAGCTGCTGGTAAATCTAAAAGGAAACAGTACAATCAGATTGTAAAGTATGTAGTCAGTTTATGACCATCAAAAAAGAACCGGGTGTAAAAACAGATTTTAATTGAATTTAACCCCCAAAAATATAATAAATGTATACCTACAGCAAAAACTTTTTTGTAATAGGGAACGGTTAAAACCCCTACCAGTTTTTTTTGTGCCATGGGGGAGATTTCTCTTGACTTTATGTTCTGTAGACACAACAGGAAGGGAGAATAAATCTTTCCAAATTGAGGTAAATTCCCTCTTTGCCGCCAGAACCAGTGTACTTATTGAAAGATTTACCCTCTATTCCTGTCCTGTGAAAATTTAAATTTGGGATTTTCCCTTACTTCCAGTCCCAGTAACAATAGTAACCAGTGAATCTCCCTAGCAAGAATACAGACAGCAATAAAAAACCTACACTTCAACAGCACACTTTGAGCAGACTATATGATTTGTTTATGCACATTACAGGTTTCCACCGTTTAATGACTACACCCAATTTGTGCTTGTGAACTCGTTAGTCAAAAACATAAAGAAATAGGGTAATTTATAAAGGACAGCGGATATTGCGGTTTACTCTCCGCTTTCCATACTGTGGCCAATCCCATTTATGAAAATCAGGCCACAATGTGTAGGTGCCAAATTCCCCTCTGAGGTGTCTCTGCTCAATGCAGCAGAGAGCTTGGTGAGTAGAGCCAGTTCCATTCATTTTTTCAGTTCTGCTGCTCTCAGGCAGGCTTTATAGTACTGCAGTGCTTTTTTTTTTTTTAATAAAGCAACGGTATGGTCAGAGAAGCCACACTACTGCTTGTAAAACCCCATAGCGGTAAACTTAATGCCAAATAACTATACATTTGAGTGAAAAAGAGATTTTCTTTGGCTACTGCTAAATTAAAGAGACCTATAAAGAAAAAAAATCTGTGTTACCATAACATCCGTTTCTTGGAGTTCATTCAGGATTCCGGATCACTAGTTATTTTGATAAAATAGGGTTATTACAGGAGGATTTGGACACTGGCAAAGCATAAGAGCCATTGGGAAGCCAGGTGTGCTTCAGTTATGTAAAAAAAATAGTACTTAAGAGTAGATCACAAACAGAGGTGGGACCCATGTGCCCTAATGAACTCCATGAAAAGGGTTTTACAATAAGAACAAAAATCCTTTCTTCCTTCATTAAGGGACACAGGATCTAATACAATTGGGACATCTAAAAAGGGTACAACTGCAAACAAAATAACAGCAAACAAAATGCAAATAGGCCCACATAAAAAAAGAATAAAACTCAAAGAGCTGCCTGAAGGATCTACACTCAAAACTTGAATTAGATGAGTTTTGAAAACCCACCTGGTAAAAACAGAGAATGTATGAACAGAAGGCCAGGTGGCATTCTTGGCAAATCTGGGAAACAGTTGCCTCATACATAAAAGCCCAAGAAGCACTCACAGACCTAATAAGAGTGCATGTTGAAAGGGGGAACCTTGTACTTTAGACAACAAGTGCTTAAACAAGGATATGTCCAAGCCACTTAGACATGGATTGAGAAGCTGGTTCTCCTTTATGGGGAACATCAAGAATGACAAAAAGTCAGTCTTTCGAATTGAAGCAGTAGCTGAGCGGTAAACCAGTACAGCAAAAACTACATCCAGGAAAAAAAAAAAAATCTCCTTTTGATGTACTGGAGACAGAGAAACGATTTAACCAGAAATGGCTGTCCCACAGAGTAATTTCCGAGGTGATACCTTCTTTCCTCACACCAAGCCTTCAATGTGCGAAGGTTGACTTCTTAGCTTTTCCTTACATCATTTTTATTAATTTTAACAAAAAATTCATATCAAAACAATACATAAGAACAAGTGTATCAGATTTTTTTTCCAGAAAAAAAATGAAAAATCTCTCAAGACCTGGCTTTCCACAACCATTCTGTTAAAGCAAGGGACCATGAAGCAGGGTGGTAATCTAGTCCTTGAGATAGCTGATCTGAAGAGTACCACATCCGTCTGAGCAAGTCTGGGGCTATGAGTATCAGTCAAATGCCCTCAGTCTCAATTCTGTGGAGTAGATGGCGTTTCAGGAGGAGGAAAAGCATGAAAAGCATAGCTCAGACTGTATTGATCCCATGGGCTCACAAGAGCATCCACCGTTTCCACCAGTGAAATCCATCCAATTTGATGTTGAATCTGGAGGCCAGGAGGTCCATATCCAGTGCCCCCACCTGAGACATAGGTCCAGAATCACATACAGATGTAGGGAACACTACAGAGTCCAGATGGTCACCTGAGGTAGTCTGCCTGCCAATTGTCCACTCCCGAGATGTGAATGGCAAACATGGCTGTAACATGGAGTTCTGCCTATGTAAGAATCCTTTCTACTTCTTTTGCTGCAACCAGACTTTTGGTTTCTCCCCGATGGTTGTTGTAGGCTACTGCTGAGATACTGTCTGACTGAAAACTTAAGGGATCACCTTCTGATTGGGGTGTCCAGATTGACACTTCGGCTTCTTCCCCAAGGGTAAATGAATACCCTTACCACTAGTGAAGTCCTTTTTTTTAGGTAAGTTTTCTAGTTTTCTAGGGAAGCACCAAAAAAAAGGACATAACTGTTTCGCGTCCAACGGCCGTTCATAAACAGCCAGACAGGAGCCTTCTAGATGCGCCGCCCAGCGCACGCACAAGTGGGAAAACTGCCTAAAATGTAAACAGCCAGCGATGACTGTTTAACCAGTTGACATACGCGGTGTTAAACCCCCTTCCCATCCAGGCCATTTTCCCATCCAGGCCAGTATTCAGCGCTGCGGTACTTTGACTGACATTTATTCCGTCATGCAGCGCTGTACTGAAATTAATTTTATACCCTTTTTTGGGGACACAGAGCTTTCTTTTGGTGGTATTTATTCACCACTGGGGTTTTTATTTTTTTATATATTAAGGAAAAATTACAGATTTAAAAAAAAAAACAAAACAGTTTCCCCTATATTAAATTCTAAAACATTTATAATTTCCCAATTTTTTGGTAAAATATAAAAAAGACAGGGTCTAGTCGGGTAAAGAGACACCAAACATGTCAAGACTTAAAATTGCGCACGCCAGCGAAACCTCAAAAAAACTAAATTACCCAAAATTGGCCATAGGCGACGCATTAAAAGCTTTTACCGCTCATCAGTTTAGTGTTATCAGTGATTGATGGCCCTAAAATGATTGCTTTCACTGCGACGTTCGCGGCGATATGTAACATGTGTAGCGCAATTGTCATTTTCGCGTGCTGGCGCATGCGACGCATATTTACGTTTAAATGTGCGTAAACGAAGGTGGGGGGACTTAAACATTGTGGGGGGGGTTTCCTTTTTTTTATTTGTGACCTGTTATTTTTTTAAACTTTTTTTGTTTGTGACTTTTATTTTTTTTAACTTTTTTTATTTATATAGATTTTTTTTTTACACTTATTGTTATTGCTATTATATAGGGGGATACCATCCCCCTATATAATAGCACAGGTACACTGACAGGTCCTCTTTATGGAGACATTAGGGGTCTCTAGACCCCTAATGTCACCTGGAGACCCCAAAAGAAGCTGATGAAGCACAGATTTGCTTCATCAGCTTCTTCTATCTGGCATAGGAGCCAGATGACTGACAGGTGAATGCGGAAGTGATGTAATACACATCACTTCTGCATTCACACTACGGAGTGAGAACAGCAAGGAGCTGATCTCCCTCCCTCCTCCTCCTGACGCCATCCCGAGCCGGTCCCGGGCAGCGGATCCCGGGATTAAAGGTGAGGGGTCAGGAGGGGGGAGATGGCGGCACCCGCGATCGTGCGGGGGACGGCAACCCGCAGATAGGAGTCAGCCATCCGTCCGTTTTTTCTTAACGGGCGGACGGCAAGAGGTTAAATACAAGCATTTCCGCGTCTGTACACCCGATCGCTTGTATTTTTTTTGTGGACGCGCTTTGACATCAGGACCTTTGAGTCCATTCTCAATGTTTGACAGACTGATTTAATGGATATGGCAGGTTGCATTGCAGGACCTGCTAGCAAAAATAAAGATCTGGATAGAGTTCATAAATGTTTATCTGTGGGTCCCTAAACACTGGAGCTTACTCAACAGGTATAGTCAGTGTTTTAATACAAGATATTGCTGGAGCCACAGTGGGAACAAACAGCAAAAGACAATCCTAATCAAATGGGTATTGGTCTGAAATGTGTTTAGGAGGAGGCGGAAATAATTTGCCAGGAGTAATCCAGTCTTTGTATAGAACAGGGTGAAGTAAAGTGTGTACTAGAAAACTTTTTGTAGTCTTGGGGCCCATCAGGGATCCCAGACTGGTAACAGCATTAGTAGAACCTACCATTTCAAACGAGAAATCGCACAGCATCGAAAAGTTGTTCGTTTTTTTTTCTTGCTTTGGAGCTATTTCAACTGACAGAAGCTACTCGGCCATGGACTCTTCTAACAAGGACCTGCGAGACCCTTCTTCCTTTACTTACTGTTACTCTGGCACACGTGACTAGGACATGCATGAACATGCACAAGGGAAAAAATATACCTATCCACAAGATCTCGTGAGATTATGCAGTTTAAAGATGAGATTTCCCAGCAATGCACTACTCATGTGACCTTCCCAGGATTCTTCACTTAGGCAAAGGCTATATCACTAATGCCCAAAAGTACCAGGAAAGTGGAAAAAACGTAATTTTAAAGAAATCTATGTTTAACTAATCAATGTAAGATTATTACATATCAGTATGCATAGCTAAATGCTGATGTGATTTTTAGTGAAAGGGGATAAAGAACCACTAAGAATCTTCAGAGACTGGGTCACAGCGGAGGCTGTGCCACAGGCTCTTGACCTGGAAAGCAGGTCTGTGGCTTACACAGTAGTCCAATGTCTGGGAAGTGATGCTGGCAGAGTCCAGTGCCCAAATGACACATTCCAATGGGGTCCAGATATGGCCTCTGAGTATTAGCCTATGCAGAGAATTGCAGATAGCCCAGCAGCACTTAGGGGATGTCTTGATTGAAGAAAAAAAAAAATCTTGAGCAAAACAATAATCAAATAAAATGGCTAGTAAAAAGGCATAAACTTTTTAAAATAGAGAAAAGACCTGCATCCTTATAGCAAAAAACAAAGCATGATGGGAGTGGGAGGGTTTATACCATGCTGGTGGCCAACAGCTTGCTTGTTTTGCCATTGTCCAAATCCTCCTGTAGGCAGCAGAATAACCTAATCGTATCAGAATAGCTACTTATTATGTGTCCCTTAATGAACAATTAAGAAAAGAAAATATGTTATCTATCCCTTAGATTTTGTAAATGGACAGGAATCCTGGGGATGATCTTGTACTTGAACACAGAAAGAATGATGCACTGTGTTAGGCATGAACATGTTCGTCTACTCTTTTAAAAGGTACTACTCCCAGTGCAGAATATATATACCTTTTTTTTTTTACAATGGAATTACATTTTCACAACATAGGAAGCTCTGAAACATTTGATTTGTAGTCAGCACTTTTTTTGGGGGGAAAACGAAAGAACAAGGAAGTCCTTTCATGTACAAAAAGTGAGACAGCTCAAAGGCAAAATAATTAGATGATCTACAAGCTGGATGCGACTACTCAGCTGGGAAAACATCCTAAGAAATGCAAGATTTTCTTTTCTACATTAGCGGACAAACTTTATTTGATCCTGAACTTTGAAAAGGACTTTGCTGAAGGACATTTGTAAAACATGAAACTGTCCAATACCAAGTTACTAAAAAGGTTATAACTTTACAACTGTGAATAGTAGTTAGGACTCCGGAAGCCCTATTGCCACACCCCTAATATTTCTGGTACCAGGATAATTTTTAGCACTGCTGCAAGAAAAGTGGTATCCAGGTTCGTCCATTTAATAAAAAAAAAAGACTCGAGTGAGGTTGTAAAGAAAAAATTAAGCAGCTGGAAGAGTATGAAAACTATGATTTAAGACTGAGCCTCAATGCACTACTATACAGTTGACCTGAAGTAGGTATTAAGTTCAAGGTCGGGTCAACATTTGTGCATTGTGTTAAGACAAGACAGTCAAATAATTTTGAATGGACTGCCAATAAACCACGGTAACGGTAGGGGCCTTTTTTTGCAGAGCATATGCGAGGAATATCTTACAAAATTATGACAATGTGGCGCAACAACACACGCAACATTGGTAACGCACTGCGCCATATGTGTACCCAGCCTTAAAGTGCTATAGAAGGCAAAACGTTTTCTTTTTTTTGAACAGAGTGGAAAGCAATTAGAACACCTGTCAGGTTTTTATTGCGGTCGGTGTCCCTGTTAGGGAGATATGCCCTCTATTTGTCCTGGTGACCGTTCTCATTGAAAGTGAAAAGAAAAGCCCACATTTTGGGCTGCCATCAGAACAGGAACAGATGGGAAATCTTCCAATGGGGACACTAGTTTGGTGACCCTGCTGACCACCAGGGATTTCCTCTCACTTCCAGTTGTAGCCATCAGACAGGCAGTACAAGGAAATCACTCCAATACGAAACAAAAAGGCATAGAAACCACCAAAAATACACGCCGACAGGAGTAACCTTGCGCTAAAATAAAAAAGTCTTGGCTTCACGTCTACTTTAAAGTGGACTTTAATCTGTGTAGCTAACAAATGCTCTGAGATGGGAGTGCAGGGGTTGCAAGGACTGCCCCTGCCCAACCGCCGCCCCCCCCCCCCCCAAAATGGAGAAAAGGTGGAAAGTT